GTAGAACATTTGAATTTCTGAATTGCATCTACTTTTAACTTTTCAATTGCCGTCTGTCTACGCTTTGTAACTAGTATATAGTCGCCGAATTCGATGTTATGATTTGTAGCGCATTGTGAATGGATTTCAATAAACATGCAATACAATTCAAAACAAAATTTGCTGTTCGGTCAATGCAAACCTCGACTTACTAAGTACAGATATATTTAAACAAATACTTATTGTTTTATTTTACTAAACACGTGTCCACAAATTAATGGATCTTCGGACTTGTCTCTAATGCAGAGAAAGGAAAGGTTGGTGCTTTCGAAAAACACATAATAATTTTTAGAAGAAATTAAATTTTGACTATAATTTAACCATATAATAAACATCATCATCATCATCAACAGCCTTCACTAGTCCACTGCTGAACATAGGCCTCTCCTTAGAAAGGAGGTTTTGGCCTACTACACCACGCTAGCCAGACGGGTTTGTGTCTTCTCTCTGTAGTGCTGTTGTCCTGCGTATTTTGCTCCCTTAGTCGGCTATTACGACACCCACGGCATGAATAGGGGTGGTGACACTCTGTATTCTTAATCCGTCACCACGCCACACTTTCATAATAAACAAATATGCGCAATTATATATGTACCTACATAAATAATTATTTGAAGATGCAATAAGGAACTCCGTCGACCTCTCATGCAATAGAGGCCATTGTCTCAGTTCAATGTTAAGAGGTCTGTGAGAACATGTCAAAACTTCAATTTACCGTTTATTATTTCTGGGGCATGGCAGTGCCCTAGCCAAGTCGATTGAAAATAAGAAGCACAGCCGCACATAACTTTTTGTGTTTAGAGCTGGAAATCTGAATTTTGATAATGACCAATAGGGTATAAAATAACATGGTATAATCACATTGATATACAAAAAAACCCAATATACACAGTCAGGATATCAAAACCGTCCGCATAAAATGAGCGCTAAACTCCAAATTGAGCGCTCATTTCAAATAGTCTCGCATCGCCCGTGTTTATGCACGCACGACAAAAATGCCAAAGTGTTCTATGAAAAATTGCAAAAATAATACGTCAAGAACTTTAAAAAAGGATGGAATATCTTATTTTCGGTAAGTAAAATAGTTTATTGATTTGCTTTTCTGGTTTTCATGACTAAATATAGGAAGTATTATGTGATTTTGATTTATTTTATCTAAAATCTTCACTTAACGGTCCAATATAGTACAGCACATTTCAATAGGTTCGTATCAGTGTAAGAACAACGCATTACAACGTCCTTTAAATTAGTCGCTTAATACAAATGACCCTGTTCGTTTCCAATGGAGTCGATTTTTTAATATTGAACTATTTTTTTTATTAATAAGAATTATAAGTTTGTTCACGTTTTGACTTTATTTGAGTGTAATTTGTAACTAATGTTTATATATCATACAATATAACATAGTTTCGAATCGACTTTCAAAAGTTGAAGAGGCAGTCATGTTGACTATTTTTTTTTTAATTTTCTGTATATTTCTATTACTTAGGACTTCTGATTTTTGTAGGTATGTACCAACTATATACCTCCTATATGATTTCTAATTTTAATATTTTAGTTTTCCTCGTGACCCAATACGATGTGAAGAGTGGAAATCAATCGTCAGTCAGCAAAGGCGTGAAGATTTTTTTTAACCAAATAGATCAAGTGTAGTTTGTTCAGAACATTTTTTGGACGAAGATATGTATGTCACTGCAAAAGGCATAAAACGTGTTCTTAAAACGGCTGTTACCCAGAAAATAGTTTGTCGAATTAGTATCGTTATTAGGTACCTCTTGATTCGAATAATTATTTTTAATAATCATATCTTTTCAAGTCCTTAAGATTGTAAGTAACTACAGTGAAGAACGAACGGAACTTTATTTCCGTTTTACAATAAAATGTTACTTGGTATTCTTATAGTTACTTATCACTTTAATGTTGCTTACAGATTGAACCGGACAATGGCGATGATACTGAAGTTGGTCCTACCATGTTCGTTTTAGATAACAACAAGGAATTCAAATCTCCTACTACTTCTCTAAGTATAGGCTCAATTTTGGATACACTTGGAAAAGTTACTATAAAAAGCGAACTGCACAAATGCCGCAGAAGGCTAATTAGTAATAAAAAAGTAATTGACAACTTAAGGTAAAGAAATTCTAGGCTTGTTGAGAACATATTTTTATAAATTATTAAAATATTAAGTGAACGTAGTATAAAAATAAAAAGTATAAACATAATGAAGTCTCCATTCCATGCCTTGTCCTACCAGCAGACTTCGGTCGTAAAATTTTATTGCTTTTTGTACACTGCTTTGTAAAAAGAGCTTTATATCATGTGCGTAAGGTTGAATTTGCAAAAAAATATGTTTATAACATAACTATAACTACTCAAGTGTGATTGGAGACAGATTCAAGTGTTACTTTAGTTCGAGACTGTGTATCTTGGGTTTTTTGTATATCAATGTATAATCACGGCAAATTTAATTCAATGTCTTGATTGGATTTATCTACTTCTAAAAGACGTACAACCTTTCTAACTAGTATGTTCTAGTAAGTAGTAATGGGCATTAATGCTAATTATATTTAATTTAATTAATTGTGAATTCTTATGTCTTAGCATGTTAATTGCTAATGCTAATATTATATGCTAATATTGCAATTTCGTTCGAGGTGAGCAAATTAAAAAAGATCGTAACTTGTAGGTAGATATATCACTTTTTACTTTGTGTCCCTTTCATGTGATTGTAAAGTCCACACACAGACACAGGATATATTCCTGATGCGGGAGTTGTCTTTTTAAATAAAGTGTGAAACTAATTACTTCATCACTAGTAAGTATATATAGTAAGTCACAGACAAACGATGTTTCTATTAATTAACATTCCTACAAAAAGGAATGAGATCCCATCAAAAACAAAACATATAATTATTGAAAAAATTCACAACGTAGTTTACCTGGTGCATAATTAAACTTCACCAGGTATAATTTATTGTTAATTAACTAATTAGTTAAATTCCAACTATCAATCTATATGGCTCTAGGCTATCGTTTAGCAACATAATAATTCAAGAATAATTTACCATTTCAAAAGTCCTAATTAAACGTAAAGCGGACCCAACATACCTACATATATTATGTAGGTTTAACTAAAGCACTCAGAAATAAGATGAAGCATATTTTATATTGTATGTAAATGTCTGACATTATAAACTAAGTTAACTAATTAAAGAATAATTCGTTGCGAGACTTTTTTTTATGTTTTGTTTTTGAGGGTTTTTGTGTGAAAAAGGAAACTATACAGTTGGTATGTCAATACAGCTAATAATATCTTGTTAGACAAACCATATTCCTGGGCATCAACTAAGACTGACAGAAATTAGCAGTTATATAAAATTTATGCACGCAAGTTTGAAAAATTTGTTTGGGAGGTTAATCGCTATGAGTTTGTTATACAAATAGATGTAGCATAGATTTGACTAAATATAGTTTCGAGAACTATTACCTGTAAGCAAGAAAAAGACTGCTAGAAACTAAGATTTTATTGTCGCCCCATTTCCTGTGATTGCGTTGAAATCAATCATCATTCTTTTGGCCTGAAGATCCAAAAACTACAACCATTAACAAAAAAATTTTTTTTTTGTTCCTTTACTCACTATAATTTAAGGAAAAAATAATACGATCTAGAAATGATCTTGTATTGATATTACAGGCTTCTAGAAGTGATCCAGATCTAGTTGATTCAGCCGTCCAGAAGTACAGAACCTTGAGGAATCTTCTATACTTCTGGAAGGCTGGATCAACTGGTCTAAATGCAGAAACAGAGCTTCCCCCACCTAATCAAATACTTCTTCAAATCCATCTTCACACTTTCATAGTCACACACACAATAATGATATTGGTTATAAAAAACACAATACTACAACATTAAATATTGTTTAATTTTCATTTCATCTGCTTGATCAAGAATATTTATAATATAAATTTTTATGACTATTGTCTAGCGGAGGAATGTGAACATTGTTATTATTACACTAACTAGCTTTTTATTAATGGTAAGACACTGGAGTGAAGGTCAAAATTTGTAATATAGTAAAAAAAAAGAACTTAGTAGCTTTGTTTATGCATTTTGTTTTCATTTACTAACAGAACACTTTTTAATTCTAATACCATAGATTTACTCTACAGAACAGAGCTCTTTTGTGAGAAACATTAAATGAAATAAATAAAGAATTATTATTTTGATGCCATGATAGATAAAGCTATTGCTATTATTATATTTACTGAGACCAACAAAGATAATAATTTGAAAGTCATTTTGATATCTTTATGATAACCTACTTAACAGTTTTCAAGTACACAATCTTTTTTAATAAATAATGTCACATTCATTGAATTGTGCAAAAACAATTGAGATATAAGAATAGAGCAAGCTATCTCCACCTAGCCCTGTACTCTGCCGTGATGCCACTTGCGAGAGAACGCTGCGGAAAGGCCCCCTATTGTTGTTTTCTATGGATTGGAGAGAGGCAGCAAAAGGAGGCCTCTCTGCAGCTTTCTCTCTCGCACCTGGCATCATAATTTATGCTTGCTCTATTCTTATACCTCTATGGCAAAAACAATTCAATCAACAAACTCGTCAAGCTCATAAAACATAAAAACCTAATTGAATTTCTAGGAATATTATAGCTGTTAATAATCATATGTGATAAGATAATTGATGGTTACATTATCACATATGATTTTATCACTTCCATTTTGGCTAGTTTATTAATTAGAGCATTTCTGCACAATCAAGTCCAATCATTGTTTTACATTGGCATTTCGATATAGCATCTCATTGGCTATGTGTATGCATTTATCTATTTAGTTTTAGCCTTAAAGCATTCCAGCATTGATTAAAGAATATCCTAACACACAACACTATGCTTCACAATGTACAAACACAACACAATATTGGCCTACTTATGTTAAAATAATTAGTTTGCTATCCTCTTCAGTCCAATGTTGTTGAATGCGACTTTGACTCCTTCAAAGACTTCACTTGGATTGATCTCAGCGTTAATCCTTTTTACAAGACCCTTCTGGTCATAATGTTTGATGATAGGTAAAGTATCGTTCAGGTATGTGTTGAATCTCTTCTTAAGACTCTCCAGGTTATCATCAGAACGTCCGCTGCCTGCAGCGCCACGTCCTAAACACCGCTCCGTGCAAATATCTTGAGAACATTCGAAGAATAACACGAAAAGTAAATTTGTTTTATCGGACATGACCCTCTCCCAGCCGTCTAAATTATCCTTGTTACGCGGAAACCCATCAATGAGGAAACGCGTCTGGCCGGAATTCTGCATGGCTTTGTGAATCAGCGAACACGTAACCTCAACGGGTACTATCTCTCCGTTACGAATTTTTTGTTCAATCATTTCCCCGAATTCAGAACCTGGTCTCTGCCGCTCCTCACGCAGCAAATCCCCAGCAGAGAGATGGACAAACCCATATTCTCTGGATATAAATGAACACTGCGTGCCTTTACCTGCGCCGGGCGCTCCTAAAACGAATACAACTTCAGGCACCATTTTGTTGAAATACGATGAGATATGCCGCAATGCGCGACCTAACATTAAATACGAAAGAGTGATACTAGCAATTTAACTGAACAATTTATAAAACATGCGCACAGCTGCGACCTTGAAGTTTTGACGTAATCATTCAAATCTGAACAGCCGTAATGTCAAACCTAACTAGTGATGTCTTTCTTAGTAATCTTCGTTCCTGTACAGTAAAGCGGATAGGTAGGTATATATTGTTCTACATTTTACTAACTTCTATACCGAACTAAAGCGTAAGTTGTTCGTAACTTGTGTAAATTAAATGACTGTACAGAGTAATGTAATGTACAGTACATTACTTTGTCCAGTCATTCAATTTTGATAGTTAAGAACATGACCGTTAGAATAGAATTTTCTTTCATTTAAATTATTTATTTTATTCGTAGACTTTTAAGTATTCTACGTGTAGTAGACCTGGCGATGTGAGCAAATCTTAATTTTTCAAATTTCGATTAACGAACTATCGACAAATGGATGAGTGATGCAATCGCAGCGTTTGGAAACGGTGGGCATCGGAACCGAGGACCCATTTTTTAAATTCTGCCGAAAAACAGGACAGAAATTAGTGCAAAATAGTAAAACGCTTAAGCAAAGGGCCATGAATTCCTTAAACGTTAATTAAAACTGTTCTGAAATCGTAACTTGGTTGGGCCCTCAATCCAGACGCAAGCACTAATTGGCATAGGCTAAATCTCAGATATCCCATGAATTTAGTTGATTTTCTTAAAAAAATCTATCGTTGACAAGTCCGCCTTGTAGCGATTCCCACATACAAAGAAACAAACATACTAGAGCGCCATCTGACGAAGGCACACCGAACTACGGAGTAACTCCTAAATGAGAATTGCTAATCCTGTATAGCGATATGAAGAATTCTCTCTCGTCAATTAGCATATATACAACTGCCTAACAACCGTTGCCCTGCGGTCCGCCAGGCATGATCACCTCGCCTGGTCGGAGGATCCTCCCTTTGTAGGACGGACATGACAGCCGTTCCTCCACAGCCTTAATGCAAAAATCGGTAACAGATGCTATTATCTGGCAAGCGTACATCTATGCCTGCTAAGTCTTATCTTTAGTGTAACTATAAGCAAGAACAATAGGGAATATGCACGTGACACCAAAATGGACAAAATATTTTTATTTGTAATTTTTATTGCTAAAAAAAGATACCCATACAATTACTTTTGAAATTTATTTTAATTTAATAGTGAAATTTAATCATCAAAAATTAGCTTTTTTAAGATTCCCTCGCAAATTTCTAAAACGCAACGCTATTGGTTGAATAAAACGTGACGTCAACCTACACTGTCAAGAGTGTCAACAAGTTGTGTGTATTTGTAATATTTGGTTTCTGGTGATTATTTGTTTAATTTTAAGTTAATAACTAATACGTTTTCAGTGTTAAATTATTAAATTGCCGTGTAGAAAGACTCAACACAATGACTGAATATACTTTGTCAGGTGCAGTTTTGATATTATTTTGGCACAAAGGAACGGCACAATATTTATAATAAGTTTTTATTGGCTTTTCCATGGTAATAAGTTAATTTTTATCACTCACTTTTTTAACTTTCAGAAACTTTGTGAACTTCACTCTGTTGTTGACATCAAATTTGTCTGACAGTGTAATCTGACGTCACAAAAAAAGCGCGCCAAAATGGACGTGTTCAAATTGCCCCAAAATGACAGTGATTTTAATAAAAAAATTTTTGCTTAACGGTTTATATTTCGGATGTGTTATATTTATTTTTGGTAATGTAATAACTAGTAGAATCGTTACAAAAATTAAAAAAAATACATGCATATTCCCTATTGCATAAGACTCCGTTAAGACGGAGTATTATAGTATAATGTATCAGGCCATTTTTAGCTGGATGTGGCAATAGGCAAATGTAACTTTTCTCGGTTTCTGTTTGAAACTTTTTTGTATGTGTGTAACCTCAGAAGCCACTGCTAATATTTGCAATTGATAAGCGATTTGGGGGTTTTATAATTAAAAACAGAAATGAATATCAATTTTTTTATTAAAGAAGTGATAAACATGATCATGGTAACTTGCTCCTAGTATTCTTCTTTGTACCTGAAACCACAAAAATAAATAAATTAGGAAAGCAACCACTTCAATTAAAAAAAAATCTTTTACTTACTAATTTCAGATTTAAAATGGTTGACCTCAAAAGTATTCAGAACAGGTCTGTGATATATTTCATCATATAAGTATCTACAGAACAGGGGATTTATTCGAAAAAGAAGGTTAATAGTGGGTGATGTGAACAACCTGGAAACTGAATAAAAATATTTTTTTCCTAGTTTGTTGTATGTTTAGTTTAATTTCATAGTTAACAGAAAAATTGGTGACAAATTGCAGCCAGTACTAATAATGCACAGAAAGTAGTTCAATAGAAAGAAAACTTATCAGATAATCCAATCAGTTTATTTAAAGAGATACAGTAATCATATTCACTATGGTTATGTATTTATTCACTAATCTTACACACGCTTCCCAGACAGAACAAATGACCGTGCTGTGCCCCGAGCACGAAAAAATGTCGAATGCGTATCGTAAACGTATCGAGTCTTCGATACGTTTACGGAGTTTTACGATAGGCGGTAGCACGAAGCACTAACGTTAAGGTATCGAGAGCTCGATACGATTACGTTAGTGACGTCATCCTAACGTAAATAAGGATGTGCACTTAAGAACGAATTCAACATCGTATTGAATGAACTATGCGTTCGAAAACATAATGAAATAGTGATTTTTTTATTACTTTCGGTTAAACTACCTATTTATTGACAATTAAAACAAAATTTACTTATATAAACACATAATAAATCTTAAATTAGGTATGGGAGATTTTAAAATGTAGTATATTTTGGAGAATTAAAATAATGATTATGACATTTTTTTCGGTTTCTGAATAACACGTCTCCACTTGACAATTTATTGACATAGATACGACGCTATGTCTATAAATTGTTTATTATTTTTATTGTAAATTCATCTCCAAGTTTAAGATTATTTGTAAACCTTGAAACTTTAAGAAGCATTTTATAGAAAATATTATTTGTATTATTACGTCGTGTTGGCTGTCGATTGTGACAAAAATCTAAGCTTCCAATAATAGCTAAGTCGTATACCACTAGACCGTTGTCTTATGTGAAAAGAAACTGATAAAGATTTCTTTAAAATAAACCACAGTAAGTCGTGCCACAATAAATCGAACTGTGGAACAGCACAGACGAAGACGTGTTTCATCATCCTCTGCGCCAAAAATCCCAACATCAAAAAAGTCAGTGCCTACAAGCCATTTACAATACGTGGCTATGGTGTAATTTCTTGAAAGGTGAGTTTATTTAATTTACTATTTGCAATACTCAATGTACTGTAATGTAAAATAACGATGTGATGTTTGAGAATATGATAAATTTCATATTTATAATTCAATTTCTCGTTGTTATGAGACTTACACTGCTACTTGACATTAAAATAAAGTTTCAATTGTAAATATAGATAACATCTGTCACTTTATAAATGAAAAATGAAATGAAAAGAAGAACACCACCACAGCAATCCTACAGATAAACATACCAGGGACAACTAATGTCTCATATCAGTCAATCTAGGTTTCATAGTACAAGTTCTGCTTAGTTTGAAACTATGTATATGGTGTTGTGTGTCAGATGTCTGAAAATATTTTATTCGTTATTATATAAGTAATAAATTGTGTAATATTTTGTTGTAGATTGGAATACTGGGGGCTCAAGCAGCCAACCGACTGTGGCTCCTCCTTTACCAGCATCTGAGGTTCATTCTCAGTCTTCTCCAGTCACCGCAGTGGCAGAGGAGTGGAAGCCTCCAGAAAAAAAAAAAACTCATAAAATAAATGATATTTTAACCGTTAATTGAATCGTAATCGTGTGAAATAAAATTAAAATTATTAACCAGACATATAATTTTTTTCAAAGTAAATAATGTTCTCTGTAAATAACATGTATGTATGTAATGTATAAAAACCAACTCTGTATAATTCATTTTAAAATTATGGTAAATAAAAAATATTCATACTAGCTCATTTTTTACTATATGCCTTTCATCCCTGTCTGCTGTGGAACCCCCTCTATCTAACCAAATCTGGTACGAGCCCAGCAATGCCGCTTTGGAAATTTGTTCAAGCAAAAAGCTTACTGAAGCAATCCAAGGTCTTTAAACAGGTTATAGAGGGATTTAACTGGTATACCCCTCGCACCCACTTCCACGGCATACAACGCAACGAAAGCGATATACATATTTTGAAATTCGTTGTCATTACCCGAACAAACAGACAGACAAAAATTATTTAGACTGGTTTTTAGGCAAGATGTCTATTGCAAAAAACCGTGTGAGCATGAAAAAAACCTATTATTTTATATTACAAACAGACAGATTTTTCTTCATCATTACTATCATGTATCAGCAAAACTGAAACTGAAGATCATTGAGGCTTAAAATTAGTTAAGTGCAGCATTTGCGGAAAGAATAAGAATAAGTAAACAAACAAAACGATGTTATCTCAGTTACAGAGGTTAATGCATATAAAATTCACTCGTTGTCTCAGTTATAGAGGCAACTATGACGATGAAATAGAAAGAACGAATCCCATATATAGAGGTTTTGCTTCGTCCCACTAATAGAGGAAATTCAGTGCCAAAGTGTTGGGACCTCAGCATGAGTTCCAGTTATGGAGGTTTCTCACTTATCCAGGTCCCACTTAACCAAGTTTCACTGTATTTTATTAACAAACAGACAGATTTTTCTTCACTTTTGTCTTTCTGTTTTTGTCTTCGCCTTATTTCACTAAAAAATGATTAATTAGATTACTATATATATAGGTACATACTAAGTATACTACATTTTATTAATATAGTAGAAGTTTCTTCAAATGTTTCTGACAAATATTTAGTTTACACTTTATAGATAAAACAAGATTTGCTCACTTCGAATCTAGTTGTTGAATACCTTTATTTTCAATTAAACTTGGGACAAGAACATACATAGGACTAAAGCGGCGGTCTTTGCATTTTATCTCTACAAAAAATGACCGTTAATACTTGAAAATAATAGTTTTAAAAGAAATTGATTGTTTCGAAACTTTTCTCACGGCTAAATCTTATGTGAATAAACATTCGACAAAGCTTGACAGGTGCTCGATAGCCAGCCTTCGAACGTACGTCAAAATTTCATTCGTGCTGCCAATTTTCTTTATAAAGTGTAACGTATCGAATGCTTGACGATACGTTGACGATACGAAAGTAAATTCGAAACGTTCGTGCTGCCAAAATTAGTTACTTTTACGCACGATAGGGGCGCTGCACAAATGTCATACAAATTTTGTCGAAGACGATACGAATACTTTTTCGCAAGTTGTTCGTGCTCGGGGCACTGATCACACAATATTTGTCCTGGGTGGGAATCGAACCCACGACCTCTGGCTTAGCAGTCAGGCCAACCACTAGACCAACAGGCCCGTCTCGTCATATATTTGTTACATTCCTTAAGTAGATAGTATTCTCTTACCTATTAAACTGGGAAATATTAACTTCTTTCATCAACCTTTAGCAAGGTATCTCGGCTCATCTGAAATAATTAAAGCATTTTTATGAATCATATATTCCTCATTGCTTTATGATGTAGATTTAAATTTAAGGTTCAGGCCTGTTGAGCTTGTAAAACCGTCATAGTGGCATCAGGGAAAGATTTGTCATCATTATTATTTTAAGTGTAAAATAAACTGATAATTAAAAATGCTTAGAAAGAATGTAAATATGTTTCCCAAAAGATATTGTTTTGCCTTCAAAATTTCGATTCACACAATTAAATGTCACCTAAAATGAAGAGGTAAAAATTTGTATATAGAGGGGTAAAATCTCTGACACTACTGAACCAATTATGAATACCCTTTCACTAATATTTAGCTGCATTATACTCGAGTGCTGTAGGTTAAAAACTTCATCGTAGCAGTTAGAGCTGCGGGCAACATCTAGTCTATGATAAAACAATAAGCTTCTTGGTATGTATTTTGATTCGTTCTCACATTCATAGAACAGTAATGTGCCAATATTTATCACTAGCTTCAATGGTGAAGGAATCATCATCATGAAGAAACTTAAGTTTTTAGTTTGAGATTACTGTCTAAGCTTCTGATGGTAAGCTATGGACTAAACCTCTTTTTTGGTCGTTTTATTAAGGAATTGAATCACATGATGATATAAACACACTCGGGTAAAAACAAAGCAAAAAATGATTACCTCGAGACAAAACTAGGTAAGTGTGACTTAGACTTGTGAAATTTTCCATTCTTCTATATTGCTGAAACAAGGAAATAAAACGTTAGCTGGCTGCTTTAATTGATATATTTTTTGTGGTAAGTTTGTTTCGGTTTCAGTCCTGTTGAGCTTGTAAGTACCGTCATGGTGGCATCAGGCATAATTTTATCATCATAAAAACTTGTGTTCAAAATTTCTTGATATAAAAACAAGAATTATTTACCAATCTACTTTGTGATAAGTACAGCAATAAGTATTAAAAAACGAGACAAATATCAAGTAATGTAAAATACTAGAGTACAGAATTTTGTACTATAAAGAAACCTTTTGATGAAATGACTGGGTATCTAAAAATTTCGGTATTTACATCTAATGTTTCAATTTTGGCTACTAACAACTTTTATTAACAATATTTACCTTTAAGTTTGTCGAATTGTCGGACAGCACATACGTGAACAACTAACCTATAACAAAACAAACCATTATTAAATTAACAGTACAATAATAACGGCAAATAGTAGCAACTTGTTTAAGTTATCAGGGTGATATAATGTTTTCCTCATTGCATCAGTACAGGTCTGTGTTTTTGTCATCATATAACTTGTATTAAATAATAAAGCTTACAGGCTAATTACAATGATATTTATAACGAGTACATGTAAAACCATTGCTGATTTCCAAGCTTTTACACTTAAATTTATATATATCCCTACTATTTAGTGGGAGCTATAGGAATAATGGAATAACTGTTGGTTATTATAGTATGTGATACTATAAATATCTTACCTAGTATATAGCTGCGACTGGAATGCATCTGTATAATTAAAAAAACATTAATATGCAGTTCTATCAATTAATAAATAACGAATGGTCATCCATCAAGCTCTGTAAATTTAATATGATTGTCCCTTGTTAAAATGTTTTTTCTCTTTTCGCTTAATAAACATAACTCCCGCACTAGGAATATATCCTGTTTTTTTATACCACGATCAAAAGTATTTTTATTTAAGACTGAATATATTGACTTTACAGAATTTGATGCCATAAAAACTGTATTTAACTCACCTGTAAATCTTCGACTAATATGTTAGCCACTTAATATAAAAAAATTAAACATTTTTTTCAATAGAAAATTATAATTTAAAAATAATTACAGTACAAGTAATGAATCATGGTACCAGACTACATAATAACGATTCATATCAAACATGTTTTCTCAATATATTTATTGTATTATAGCAGCGGAGGCGCGATGCAATCGCGGCGCCAGAGTAACCAACATACCGACCAGCGTCGAGCTTAACACTTAAATTAATTGAGGCGAAATCCCGTTGTATGTTAAATAAAAATTATTCGTTATAACGTAAAATTGTGTAATGCTTGAGGCGGGCTCAATAATGTTACATATATTACATATGGATTGCTTTAGCTACGACGTTTACAACTTGTCCAAGTATTGGGTTAGATCGGGCAGACCTTCCTTAAGACCTTTCCTTTTCCTTGTCTCCTGCAAAAAGAAATGGACAATGTTTAGTTCATTTTACTTTACAAGGTTATTTTTAATAATTTAACCAATGTGGTGGTTGATTATGTAATGGTTGTTTAACCACTCTTAAGGGATTAAGACATTATCGGGCGACTAATGTTTTAATACCGTAATTAAACATTATGGTAAATGTTTTCTGTCAATTGAAATAGACAGTTCAAAGAAATGGTGGCAATATGGTTTGACAAATCTATGTTGTTCGTATTTTATGCACTGACATACTGTTCATCCGACCTTCATGAGCTTTTCTGAAGGCACCTTAACTTAGTATGTCTGTAATGTATCGTCCACGTCGTAGCATGCAGTACTGGGACATAAGGATAGAGGTCCTGTGCAGCGTTTAAACGTGGTCGAGTTGTTCTACTTCAGTCGCACGCCGACACCGTCCCTGCGACGCGACCGACGGGCGGTCGACTCGCTACGGCGCGACACGGTGTGCACGAAGATTATTCCGTCATAGATCTTGCAAGATATTATAGTACTAACCTGAACGACTGCGTAAGGCTTGGATCCAGATTCGCATGGGTCACCGGGCAAGATCTGCCAGTGGTCGAACACGCACTGCGGGAAGGCCTGTCCGCCAGTGTTGGACCGAAGGTCGGCGGTGAAGCCGAACGATTCGTTTACTGGCAAGTAAGCCTTAACCACGAACATGGGGGTACCAGCAACCTGGGACTCCTCGAATACGTGACCACGACGCCTGTTCAGCACTCCGTAGATACCACCCACAGCCACCTCCGGGCACTGTGGGATTTTTTGAGTTTTATTAATTATTATTGTTGAGTTTTTACTTATTATAATTATTACCATTACAATAATCATTAACATTGTAACACAACCCTGTGATATTCCTATTTATAAAATTTCATTATTTTCAATATTAACTTATTTGAATTGCAAACAATTAATTCCAAACAGATCATTCACTTCAAACACAAATATTCGTTAAAATTATTAATGTTGTACAGAATTATTCAAACCACATTCTGCACACCACAAGCAGGATTTGCTATGCTTTCGTCAGTTGTATTTGATTGACAGAAGGCTACAAGTTTAAAAGTGTTAGTTCCCCTATTCAGGCAAGGCGTATGGTTGGGTGGCCACACCAAAACAAAGAACTGTTAATCTGCCACGTCTCGGAAAGGCGGTACTATCGAGTGCATGCTAGCCCGCTCAGGATAAAACGTGGGTAGGGTCATGCTAGGGTCACACAACTTTACCTGTGGTCTGGTGATGGGTCAGCCATTTACGTCTTTTGGTTCAGACCACAGATAATCTTTTCTTTATTTATAATCTCATCCAAGTCTAAAAAATTGGTACCTATAGAGTACGATAATTCAATATATAATTTCAATATATTGAATACTTTTTCTTAATTTTATAACACAATACAACACACACTCACAAACCATGCTGCTGAAATAAAGGACATACCTGAATTTCGCACAAGTATACGGGCTCCATGAGTCTGGGTTGCGCCGTGAGCAGACAAGCATACAGACATCTTCTCGTCGTTGGAATGATTTGACCGCCACCCCTGCAGAAAAAGACAAATTGAAATGGTTTTTTTTTTTGTTTTCACTAACATGTTTAGTATCGATAAAACAATACTACACAGTCACACAACATTTTCAAAAATAAGCAACTTTGAATTCCTATCAAACTATGTACTAAGGATTGTTTCCTGCAGTTTTAGTAATAGAAACAAAACCAACTAAAAAAACGACATACTAAAACTTTTTTTTTTTTAATATTCGCCTTTCCCCGATCAAGAATACATCAGGACCTTATTTGACAATTTTGACATGCATGTCTGTCTATATATAGATTTTTTCCACACTAGTTTTCTAGTAGGGTGGGATTTACTCTACTCCGCGCTTGTGTAGCTTACAATATCTATGTGCTTATTTTATCTTACAGTACATTTTATGTTACACTAGCTACTATGCTAAGCATAGCATAGTAGCTAGTACGTAAGTACGTAGTTAATACTTAAGTGTATCTTAGTAATATGTAAGCTAGTGTAGCAACACTAGCTTACATATTACTAAGATACACTTAAGTTTGCAGGCACTTACTACACTTAATTTAACATACCTGTGGATAGCATCAGTATGTAGCGTGACGTCATAGATGTTGAATCGTACACCTCTCAAGTTCTCCTCAGCCATGACTCCCTCCTTAGCGGCCCACTGGAATCCAGCGACCACAGAGTCCTTGATTTCGTTGAGGTACTGAACTCCCTTGGAGCAGTCCACCAAGATGTTGGGGCCGGTACCTTCAGGGCCGAAGCACCAGATTTTACGCGCCTCGGTTAGGTCGTACTCGTACTTGTCAGACAGATAACGAGCACGGGTCTTGAAGTCATCGCGGGGGTTTACTTTGCCCTATAAGGAAAAGGAAATCCATCATTCAATAGATAAAATTAAATATACACAAGTGCCTAAGTATCCTTCTGGCAGTTCTAATCAGGTTACAAAAATATACTTGTGATCATTTCATAGTAGGTCTTTACACATATGATCCACCTTGATTGCATTCTAATAATAAAAATTAATGATTTTAATTTATTAATAAACTAGACAGATCCTTAAAATATCTTATCATCCATTTTGTTGCCATTACTGCTGTGTACATTGGTCAGATATGATTATTATCAAAACAAATATACACTCTATAAATCGTTTTATTATAATCACCATTGTCGGTCAAGAGGTTGATAAGCAATTGCAAAACAAAATGGCGCCACAATTAGACGAATTATTTTTACTGAGAATCCATGCTGCCAAATTTTTTTGTGCTGATTAAATCTTTATGCGAACTCATCGTGGGTGACTATCAGAATGATTAGCAAGTAATTATTGTTACTGTGGTATTATAATTAGTAGATCTTTTTTACATCACTAATAATATAATTGATGAAAATTTGTGGGAATGGAAGTTTGTTGCTTAAATAAATAGTTTATATGTTTATTAATAGGGATACCTACATCGTCAATGTCCTCGGGCAGACCGTCAGGCATAGGTTGCGCCTTCATGAACAAACGGTTGTGCTTGTTGGGTGACTTGGAGAGACACAGTGTGTCAGACTCCTCGCTGACTGTTTCACGGTATGACACCACAGGGTCAGACTTCTTGATTGGAATGCAAGCGTGGTCTTCCTCGAGATCCTATGAACACCAAAGAAAATAAAGTTAATAAGTGTTCTACTGACAACAGCATGTAATTTATATTTTACTCTTTAGTTTTATACAGTACAATGATACATAAATTTTATAACAATTATTACCTTCAAACAAATCTCAAGATGAAGCTCTCCGGCACCGGCGACAATGTGTTCACCAGACTCCTCGTTGATACACTGTACCATAGGGTCAGACTTGGCCAGACGTTTCAAACCTTCAACCAGCTTGGGCAAGTCAGCGGGATTCTTGGGCTCAACAGCCACACGCACGACAGGGGACACACTGAATTTCATGACCTACACAAAATTGAAGTATTTGTTTTAATTTTCAGTATACAATATTTCGATATATTCAAAAATCTAACTGGTAAAAAAAAGCCTTACCTTCATGTTGTGTGCATTCTTGAAAGTGGTGATTGTTCCAGTCTTGACAAGGAACTGGTCAACTCCTACCAGACCGCAAATGTTTCCTGAGGGAACATCCTCAATGGCCTCAACATAACGACCCATCATGAGGATAGTACGCTGGATGGTCTTCTCATACAGATCCTAGAAAGAAGTATAATTTAAAAACAACTGTAGAGCTGCAGAAATTTTACTTGAAATGACATGTGCAAAATATTATTCTAGCTCTGTTTTACTTTTATTTGTCTATAAAATGTACCGTCTACGTTGTAGCATGCAGTACTGGGACATAAGGATAGAGGTCCTGTGCAGCGTTTAAACGTGGTCGAGTTGTTCTACTTCAGTCGCACGCCGACACCGTCCCTGCGACGCAACCGACGGGCGGTCGACTCGCTACGGCGCGACACGGTGTGCACGAAGATATTTTTGATACGATTTTCATAAAGAAATACAAATTTTGTTGACTCACCTCTTTCTTGCCAGGTTGGAAGTTGGGGCCCATGATACGGGCCTTCTGTCCAGTGATGACCTTGCCGGAGAACACACGTCCGAAGGCGTAGAAACGACCCTTGTCAGAAGTCGGTACCATCTTGCTCACGTACATCATCAAGGGAGCTTCGGGGTCACATGTCTATAAGATAGGACATTCATGAGTTTTACTTGCGTAATTATAATAAATTTCTTTACCCAAGTTATTTATGAAACAAACTTACAAATTAATGGAAAATGGGAAAATCCTTCTTACTTTCTAATTAAATACCAACCGTTAGTAATTTGAAAATATATGTTCAAGGACACCAACAATATTTCTTCAAATAGATATTAGAACATTATTCGAGGACCTGACTGACTCAGGAAAAGAATACTCATCTTATGAGTATTTATTGTTTGTTGTATTTTGTGTCTGAACTTTTTCAGAGTAAATATTTAAGCCTGTTCCCATATTCGTAATTTTCGTATGACAAAGAAATAGGTATATTTAACTGAATGTTTGTTACCTTGATACCAATAGCGGCCTCGTCGTCATGGGGGCCTTCGTACAACATCTCCATACGATATTTCTGGGCTACCACAGGGGAAGGCAGGTGGATAGCAATCATCTGAAGTAAAGCTTCTCCGGCGGGCAACCAGCTGCGCATCACCACCTAAATACAATATAATTATATAAAGATCGATTTATTACACTCATTATTTTGTAGATTAAATAAAAAAAAATGGTCCTTGTCTATTATTGGAACGAAGTTTGTTATCGCGCGTTACTCGCCCTGAGCCGGGATGGCTCCCATCCCAGAGCAGACCGAAAAATGTGTATCAGGATTTTTTTACATTATAATGACTGTATAGCAAACGTCTACCAAAAAGCGAAAGGAACTTCGTTCCGGCTGGGGGTCCAAATACCCGTCACGCCGTTTTTCTGTTCTTAAATGTCACATACATTAATGGGGTCGTAAGCTATAAAAGCTTACAACCAATTCCGGCATGAAGTATGCTATAAGTCCTCTTTGACACCCAGATGCTTATTATACAAGTAACTGGCAACACTTGGGACTAGAACCAAAGTGAAACTGCAAAATTGCTTATCCCTTTTGTAGAATAATTTATAAAAATTATTACAATTATCAGTAATAAGATTAACTTAATTAACTACTTCAAATTACCTTGAGAAGGGCTTTGCCGTCCTTGTCAGCATCTTCGTGCTTGATGGTAACTCCAATCTTCTGGAGGAGACCGTCGATCTCTTCCTTCTTGAAGTTCATAATGGCGTCGAACACCTTGTAGATGGGGTCGAGCACATACATACAGAAGGAACGCTTGTTCTCGCCATCCTTTTGCTTGGCCCATTTCTTTGTCTTGGCATTGAAGAAGTTTTCTCCCCAAAGCCTAATAATAGATAATTATTATGTTATTTACACCTAGTTTAACAAATTGAGACAGGGCACGTTTTTAGCCCTTAAGCTATTAGTCTAATTTTTGGTATTAAATGACCATACAAATCAAATCACTACATAAAATAAGTGGAAGTAAGCAGAAAATTGTATGTATTTTTTTTGATGTCATTACTGTTATTATAAATATTATTCATTCATAAATATTATTCAAGGGCCCGCGCGGAAATAAATCGCCACCGTATCAAAAGTAAAAATCAGATGTTTGGGATATGTTATTTAAACGCCAAAATCTCCCATTGAAAGGCCTGACGATGTTAGTGACAAGCTCGTAACAAATTATCGAAAATGCAAACTGCAAATACGAAAAATCGCCATTTCGAAATACCCGAGCATATTAGATTTTATACAGACGGTTCTGCTTGATGTTCCTCTCATACCAGCCAAAAACTGACTATAATTTTGCAAAAAGAAAAATCGGTCGTGATGCTCGGAAATGCTAGGGACAGTAGGAAAATGTGTATATGTATTAGTGATGTAGAATGTCGGGTGCCTTCGTATTTTTGCATGCTTTATTTGATTGTTATACTGTACTATTAAGTCACTTAATTTGTATTGTTCAAAAAATGCTTGTACTTGTGTAACAATTTATTCTTCTGCGTTCTCTCTCAAATTTTTGCAATGCCTGGAGAAGGCTTCTGAGTTGGGACTACTACATATAATATTATAAGATCATTGATGTACACTTGGTTGGCAAATAAAGATTTGATTTGATTTGATTTGATTTGAAGGTATTTTTAATCTGACGATTACAAGTATTTTGATATTTTATAAAATGTCACAAAAAGTACAAAAATTATGTACATTTGAAGATTTCTTGCATTGTTTTCTTCAAAAAAAAAACAGGGTAATGGTTTTTTTTTAACTTTGTGATCCTCCCACTGATTTATGTCACGCTCAAGTCGTCCGATTTTGTCAATTTACATTAATCTTACAGTCTTGAGTATATCTGGCCATCTATTTCATTTTAACTAATTTGATGGGCTGCTCTAGACGCTCCCACCTATGTGTATGTAGGGCTCATGTATGGTGGGGGTACTGTACTGGGTGCAAGGTATTAAACTCGAGCGTGTCAGATTAAGATGGGAAAAATACCTATCTTAATTTGCCACGCTCGAGTAAATCCCGAAATCCCTTCTAGGGCTCCCCTACTATACCATTATGTCGATATCTGAGTCATATTTCACAAGGCCATATACATCAAATTAACTTAGTGCCTGGGTAGGGAACAAATAGCCTTGCTACGTTTACAAAAGTGGGTTAAGAATGTTAAAATAACAGCTAGGGTAAGGCCCGACCTCGTCTCGGCATTACATAAATTGTCCCTTACAGAGACTGATATATGCAAGGAATATTGTTTCTCAACAATTGTTGTAAAAAGACAAAATAATTGATCAGTTCACCAATCCGTTGTCAAGATTTAATGTCCGTCCTTTCCTGCCGCTGGTGTAAAGCATTAATAACTTTAACCAGTATCAACGGGACGGTTTCGAATCTAATTCTAATCTCCCTAAGGATGATAATGGCGTATCATGGCGTACGTGCTTTGAAAATCAATGTTAGACATTACGTGCATCTGCAATGCTGTATTTCAGTGCACTAACCTTTGCAAGCACAATTTTTTATTTTATTTTTGTGTTTAATTTAACTCTTGGTGCTAAATCGTTTACAGTGATTAGATTATCATCGTATAATGATCAAACATAACTAGATGATAAAATGTGAAAGATTTAATACTTTTTCCAGTTATTTTCTAATCGATCGTCTATTGCTAGAGGTCGATAGGGTTTACAAAAGTCATCAAAATATAATTATCTAATAATATTTATCTAATTAATATTAATCAATAATCATTGATTTATTTTAATAGCTACGCCAGTTTTGTTTTACTAATATGGCTGTTATCGAACTTCCTTAAATTGCACTGTTTTCTTGTTCCAAGTAAAGATTATCATTATTGATAAATAGAGTGAATCGTTCTATCGTACACAATTGTTTTCTAGAATAAAACAAAATCTAAATCGATTTAGATAAAATCGAATAATAATCGATAATCTGAAGAATATTATAGACAACAACAGTATAGTTAACTTTGGTCAATTAGTATTGTAGATGTACCTGAAAATTATAAATTACCTGTTCATAAGCTTGACGAGGTCAATCTTGAACTTGTCGGCGTACATCTCGGCGAACTGCTTGAGGGTGAAGGCCCAACCGTGGAGACCAGAACCGAAGCCCACGGAACCCTTGCTGGGGTCGACACGCACCTCACCTAGTTAGAACGGAACAGTTTAATAACAGTAGGCTATTTTCATTCTCAGGACCTAAACCAGTCGTGTATTGTAAACGACACCCCTGGGGTGATGTTTAAAATATTTTTTTGGTAACGACACCCCAGTAATTATTTTCTATCACAAAACTATGCATTTATCGACCACTTATTTTTCATTCGTAAGTCGGCTTTTCTTGAAGTTTCCAGAAGTTCTTTAAAAGGTGGCAGATATGTGAAATAAAGATTCGGTAAAAAAAAAGAATAGTTATTGTGTATCTGATCAAGTTTTATAAATTAATTTACTTGTTTTTTGTTGTAATGGATACGATTTATATGTTTTAAGAACTCGACCAGTTTTACGATCCCTTATGAACTCGACCAATTACAACATTGTCACTAAAAATTAACACAACGAATAGTTTTATTTCACGTTATACATTACTATACAGCAGTGGTGTAGCTACCAAAAAAAAAATGTACACCAAAAAACAAATCCACCAAACCAGTAATAACCTTTTTGCAAATGCAACATAAAATATTAAATGCATATTTTAATTTTCAAACTTCAGTTTATGACTCCCGCAAGTTTGAAATGTATAAAGGCGGAGATCGTGTGACTCTAACACAGAAGTAGGTTTCCAAACCCATCCTAGAGAAAAATAACTCCAATAAGCTGAATTTATTAAGTTGAAAGATGTGAAAGTATCTAGTGCCGAGTTTAAGGAAAACTATGCAGTTTTACTGCATGAATGTTACATAAACCAGACAACTAGCGATCGATACAAGTGAAAGGCACTGCGAAGTATTAATATAAGGTAAATAAATCGTAACTGCTGCGCTAGTTTTTAGTCAAGTAATTTTGATATTTTTAATCATTTTGCAGCTGTTTATAAATGGTTTGTCTTGCAATAAATGGTAGCCAGCTCATGACGATCATGGTGATGCTACCAATACTGATTATCGTACTTTTGCATTGATAAATTAAAATCATAGTGATCTCAACCATTAGGTTATTAACCATATTGAACCAAAAAAATTAAATGTTTACGGCAAAGCGATGAATAATGTTTTAGCTCAAAGTTTTAGAAAGTTTTACCATTTTCGATATTTAAGGTCGGTTGCCCGCTGGTAAAATGTTGATATGAAATATCATTATGTTCAACAACACAATGCCCTAGAAAGGCAACAGTCTGCTCTTTTTTTTATAAGACCGACAGAATATATTAAAGAATTCTTTCATTGATTGGACCCTATACCATACTTCCAGTATTATGCAAAATTAATGCACGTGGCGATATAAAAAATGGTGTTTACCAAATCAATACAGGAAACTAACACAAATGAATATAGGGGACAAACTTAACGAATACATATTGACTGTCTGTTGTAGTTTCACTCAACACAGTGAGTACAGACTCGACTTAGCTATAGAAAGTGAGGGTTTAAAAAATACTAAGTTATTTATTTATTTATTTGAATAGCTGATACAAATACAAATCATGTACATAGAGATGCAACATAAACTCCTTCGAGTTTTACCGTACATCAATTTCGTCATATGTTACTTACATTGTTACAAAATATCACAAAATGCAAATACACTTAGAATAAAAGCACCAATACATAAAGCATCACAATAATTAAGTGAGGGTAGTATACAAAAATGTGTACGCAGTGCGCAATGGTCACATCGACCGCGCATCAGTGATGAATTCAACAACATTATATCGTGGATACATTCGTAATATTTTACTACACTATACAGGTTGTTCCAGGGTATGACAAATGGTCGATTTAATTTTGTAAAAAGTGTTGTTTCAATTTTATTTTTATGTTTACTTTTGTTAATGAAGTCTTTATTGATTTCGGAAGCTCATTTACTAAGAGTGGTACCATGCATTTTAGAGTTCTTTTCCCGTACAGATTTGTAAATCGTGGTAGTAATAATTTTGCATTATTGACGCTACGGGTCTTCATACCATGTGTATCACGGGCTTTGTATTTTTGAAGATCTACGTTAAAGTACTCCTCGGTTAGTAACGTTAGTTTTACCTTCTGATGTATAGGAATAATTTTGCAGAAATCAAATAGTTGTTCGTAATCGTGCTTAAATTTATTTTTTATGTTTTGTGGTACAATCTCTTTTAAAATTTTAAGTTGAAGTACATATATTTGGTCAAGGTGGCTCTTGTAAGTCCTGCCGTAGCTCGAAAGGCCATACGAGATTATTGAGTCTGCCAAAGATTTATAAAGTAGGAGGAGTGTTTTGTATGGTATGTTATGCTTGATTAATGAGAATTTGGCGAGAATAGTTCTTAGTTTATTGCAGACTTGATTTATGTGTTGCTTCCAATTTAGGCGGTTGTCGATAATTAGTCCGAGATAGGTTTGTTTCTCAACGTTTTCTACGGTGTCACAATTACAAGGAATAGTCAAATTAACGTAATTAGTCTTATGTAGACAATCATGACAGTGTGCTATAAGTTTAGGTGCCCAAATACTTCTGTTTTGGCTGGAACTAATATACATCACTTTGGTCTTTTTAATATTGAATACAAGTCCAGCATCATGCGACCATTTTAAAAGGAGGTTGAAGTCGCTTTGTAGCCAATTTTGAGCTTCGATGATATTAGTTCCCGCAGAGATTAAGCAAGTGTCGTCTGCAAACTGGTACATTTCGCAGTTTTTTATCAGGCTTTCCAGATTATTTACGTAGGTGAGGTAATGTAAGGGTCCAAGAACAGAGCCTTGAGCTGTACCTTCCTTCACTGTGATTTTTTCACTAAGCGCGTCACCAACTTTGACCATAAGCTTCCTATCACAAAAGTAGTCCCTACACCACTCTAGCAGGTTGCCTCTAATACCACTCTCAGAGAGACATTCTATTAACCTGTCATGCTTGAGCGTGTCAAATGCTTTGCTGTAGTCTATAAATACGACCAATACGTGATGTTTTTTGTCTAGGTGGTTGTATATACTATCTGTGAAAGCTGACAGTAGTTGTGCTGTATTTTTATGAGGCTGAAAGCCATATTGTTTTGATGACAGTATATTATTAATTTCATAGAAGTCATAGACTTGTTTGCAAATGTATTTTTCAACTATTTTATCTATGGTTGGTAGTATAGTTATTGGTCTGTAATTATCATAGTCAGTTTGACTGCCTTTTTTATGCATGGGCCTTATAATGCCTGTTTTCAACGTGGAAGGATATTTACCAGTTTCTATAGAAAGGTTTATTAAGTTACACAATACCGAAATTATGCTCTTGGATATTTTCTTAATGTCAATAGTCCTGATACCATCTACTCCCGGTGCCTTATTGTTATTTAGAGACATTAATATTTTATTAATTGAATGAGACTTAGCTGGTTTAAAGCGCATTGTTACATTAGCGGTACTACTGTAGAGTGACTTGTTTAGCAGAGGTAACGAGCAATTTGGAATTACGTCTTTAACGTTGTTGGCGAACGTTCGCGCAAAATTATTAGCAATATGCTTACAGGTGTTACGAACGTTTTTGAAAGCATTGATAACAACACCATCGATAGATTGTTTGATTCGTCCTGTCAATCGGTTCAGTATTTTCCAGAGGTATTTCGTGTTGTTCTTGTTGTTAATAATGTCAGATTTGATTTTGTTGTTTTTGGACTTTCGCATTAAATAATTTGCATAATTTCTTGCTTTATTATAGTTTAGTTTAAGGTTCATATCATAAGGTTGTTTAATCCATGATTTATATAATTTATCTCTGTATTCGCAAGCCTTTATTATTCGTTTATTAATCCAGTCATGATTACAGCGAGAAGGTGATTTTTTTAATGGGATTTTATAATTTGACTGTTCGTAGCACTCAGTGAATCGCGTGTTTATATAATCGTACAATAAATTAGGACAGTTTATATTATGTGCGTCATCCCAAGATACTTTTTCCAATAAGTCAAATAACTTTTTTTTATTTATGCAAGTTTTATATTTTGGGGCATCCTGTATCTGTGAGCCAGCGCAGGCAAGAACAACGGCACGATGATCAGCCAGTGTCGTCCCAAGCGCTGCGGTATACAGGTCTTGTGCGCGGGATCTAGCAAAAATGTGGTCAATACATGATTTACTTAGTAATCCGTTACTTATTTCGATTCTAGTGTATTCAGTGATCCCGCACAGAAGCCCGACGCCACTTAACATGTTTTTGTATTTATGTATTACAGGATTATGCGATTTTATGTCTATGTTAGTGTCTCCTATCACATACAAGTCGCTCAACCTAGGAAAGTGATTAAGTGTAGTGTGTAGTTCATTGATGAAGAGGTTTTTGCTAGTTCTCGGGGGACGGTATATTGCACACAAACCCGCGGAATAGTTGGAGTGGGTGGTAATAGTACATAATAAACATTCGAAGTGAATAGTTTTTATACTTTTGATGCTACACTTATGTTTGTTATTTATATATAAGATAATACCACCACCCCGACGTTCGTTTCGTAGGGCCGCGTACATACGGTAGCCTTCGATTTGAAAGAGACTGCTAATGCTTTCAGATACATTAGCTTCAGTTATAATTATGACATCAATGAGTATCTTGGACTCCTGTATACATTGTTCGAGAGCTGAGAAGTTTTTAATTAGGGATCGAATGTTAATATGAATGCATAATAGATTGATACTGTTGGTGTTATTAGGTAAATAGTTAAGAAAGTCGTTTACATTCACACAATCTGTGATCTCAGTAATCTCATTAAAGCAGTTGTCCATAAGAAATGAAAGTGTATTGTGTAACAATTGCAAACAATTCAATGAAAACTTACAGGTTTGACGATAGGGAGCGTAATTGTTCTAACGACTTTACAATAATAGGTTTATCACTATCTTCCTTTCGGGCCCTAACGACTCCTCTTTTGAACCATACATATTTGAAGCTCTGGTTGATTTTAAGCTCCTGTTTTGCATTCCAGAATAGTTGTTTGTTGAATTTAGTCATGGCTTCTCTAATATATACTGTATTTTTATTATTATTTTCTGTAGGATGGATGTCACCTACAGTCATTTTAAACGATTTAGAAGCAGCGATCCAGGTTTTTTGCACCTGTTCATTCTCTAGTTCCACAAGTATATTAACGGGTTGATCCTTTTTTGTATACCCTCGGCTTGTACTTTTAATCACCTCTTTTGGTTGGTTCAATTTTCGAGCGATATTTTCCACAACGGCTTGAATCTCTTCATTGCTTTGGTTAGGAACATTTGCAATTTCTACATATTTTGAGAGTTTTTCTTGCTCTAAGTCTTGTAGACGCTGTTCCAAGGCACCGACTCGAATTTCTAAGTGGTTGTTCTTATTGGTCAGTTCTATGTTCTTACGTTCAAGGGCTTTGACTGTTTTCTTAAAAGCATCCATACACTCCATTACTTCATCGAGCTTGGCACTGTGAAATTGCAATGAGTCATTCAACTGGACCATTTCTCTCTTGATTGCCCTTTCCACTTCTTTGGTTATATTGCTAAGCAACTTCTTAGCATTGATTTGGACGGCTTCGTCTTCCTCCTCCTCTTCTGGAACTATTATTGAGGACGTCCGCCGGGGTGTTTCTTGTTGGCAGTCGGGGCATGTCCACTCCAAACTTGTTGCAGCCTTTAGGGCTGCTATCTGTTTATTCGTTAAGCCCGTGCATTTTGTGCTCAGGTGTACTATTTTTTCACACTTACTGCACTCTAGGCCTGGTGTAGTTTTAGAAATATTTTTGTTGCAATTATCGCACTTAGACATTTTTGGGGGTATTTGGGACAACCTGCACTAAAGACGGACAAATGACGAATGAGACGGACAAATGACGAGTTATTACCTTTATACAATGAGAGATATCTAATTATCTCAATAAAACTACTTTTAATTAAAATGATGAGAAGTTTTCGACAGTGTTTTTATTTTATAGGTGATTCTTCACTGGATAATATTTAATATGCAAAGTTAAAAAGTGTAAGTCTAAGTTAGAAAACAAGACTGACTTTTAGAAACGGTTAAAGTATTTTCTACTCCAATTAGACGAGTATTATTTGTGCATACAGGGCCTCAATTCTGCTATTTCATGTTTCCGCCAAGCCACTGTCATACCACTGACACGCTATTGAGATGCCATCGAGTGGCCATTGGCATCGGTATAAATATCGGTACTCAGTGTCTTTACAGTGGCGATGGAATGGCAGTGGCTCATCAGTGGTGATATGAAAAAGATTGCCATATTTGGAAAAATAAATAAATCATTTCCTTATACTTTGAAAATATATTACGTTTTTTGAGGAAATTATTTATCCAGGCGTTAAGAAGTAAGCGCGGCAGCTCTTTGTTTCATTTCAAGCATAGCTGACAACCAATATTAATGTAAACGCTGCAAAATATACTATTTTCGACACAACTATTAGTAAGCAATAAAAATATTACATTGCATTAAAAAGTCGATTAGCGAACGTGACACTATCAATATCACGCGTATTATTACTGAACTAGATTTTGACCGCTGCATCGCTCGCTTTTAAATTATGCGGGCACCGCCCTTATATAGTTTTCCATTTCATAAAATTTAAACAAAGAATAATTGTTTTTTTATGTTTATATTGTTGTTAAAATGTTAAAACTACTAATGTCGAGCGCTTTTTGACCTTGGACAGTATCAAACGATGAAATCGTGGTTGGTCACGTGTGATGGATGTTATGTCATGTGTGATAAACAATTGTCGGCGTCATGACAAGTTGACAGCACCGGTTTTGGGGCTAAAAAACGTGTTATGCACACGCCAAATAACAAGCACTATGCAGTTTACTTGTCCTTCTATTGTAAGATATACTTTGAATTATAATTATGTTGGGAACGTAACAATAAATCTGTTAGTTGGTTTTTTCTGAATCCTGTTTATTGCTACAACCTTGGTAGGATGTTTTTTTATACTATTTTTGCTATTTATATTACGAATGGAATAATATACATTTAAATATTTGCTAGGAGTGAAAATCGAATCCTCGACCTCTGCCGACGCAACCGAACGAATGCCTTTCACCTAGTTAATGTTGTAGTCAATACTCAGTACTTTATTTCTGCCATAATGTAAGTTGTACAGTTGGTAAAATTATTATGAATGTCTCTTACATTAATGGGGTCGCAAGCTATGGAAGCTTACAACCAATTCCGGCATGAAGTATGCTGTAAGTCCTCTTTGACACCCAGATTCTTATAAAACAAGTAACTGGCAACACTTGGGACTAGATCGTACAAATAAAACCGTGTCTACATAAATTCTAAAACGGAGACTGATTAAGTATAATGTATATTCTTCCTCCCTTATGTCTCCACCTTTAAAAGATGTTGCAGGGAGTCTGAAAGGCTCTAGAACATTCCCGTGTACCTATTACCGTATAGAACAGTTCAGATCAGTAAAAGGGAGAGTATCGACGTAAATAGATTAGTAGTAAAAGGGGAGTATCGAAGTAAGCATTTTCGTATTTATCTTATATATAAAATTCTCGTGTCACAATGTTAGTTTCCGTACTCCTCCGAAACGGCTTGACTAATTCTCATGAAAATTTGTGTGCACATCAGATAGGTCTGAGATTCGGCCAACATCTATTTTTCATACCCCTAAATGGTAAGGGTGACCCATCCCTAATTTTTTTTTGTTTTGCAATACAACGTTTGCCGGGTCAGCTAGTATTCTACATAAAAGGTTCTTCAATGCCTATCTAGTTTTACTAAAAAGCTGCTTAATGGATTTTTTAAATTGAAACTACGTCTGACGTCACCAGACTTGTAGGCGGAAAGGTGAAAAGGTCAAGATAGAACTGTACACCCCCACAGAGCGTGTAGGCGTCTTAGCAAGTTAAGTGCTTTTAAGTTACAGCAAATGTTGCTGTTAGACTTGAGAAATCTTGTCAAGATCAGTCTAGCGAAACGAGAGATTGTTCCGCCGCCGTCGGTACCATTATTTACTAGAACGTGCGCTGGGATGATCGTGTCAATTTTCGTAGTTATGTCTGGCTCTGTTCGTAGTTCAATTGAAGAGATTTAAAAACGTCAAATGCTCTATATTTGGTTACAAAGGAATACTCAAGTCTATCAGCAACTTTTTTTTATTTAAAAGACAACTCCCGCATTAGGAATACATTCCTGTGTCGAAGGGAACTTTATAAACTTATGTTTCCGACTTAGACTCCGAACAACAATTTGTGGATCACACAAATTATTGTTCCATGTGGGGATCGAACCCACAACACTCAGCGCAGTAGTAAGCGGCGAGCTGACCGCTTAAACCACTACGCCATCCGTTCAGTCGAATTTATAACATACTGAACAGATTGATATGTATATAGCAAAGTACCCCGATATTCTAAGCCAATAAAGTATATTGAATTGCAAGACTTTCTAAAATGAAAGTTCTAGAACAAACGGAGCTTAACTATTACTGGTTCGGGATTTGAATCTTAGTGTGGTCTAATAAAATGTCATAAATTGTATACACATGATACGAAAAATCTCTAAATTTAACTAAAAATCACAAAAAATTCGTTTGGTCCTGTCAAATACTTCGTTTTCAGAACACGAAACGTTATTTAACATGACTAAACTAAGTTTTATCTAAAGTTTAGTGCAAACAAAACGCTCGCGTTAACCCTTTGCAATTGTACACTTTTCCCTACATTTCTAATTTTCCGATTGAGTTTGGATTATAGACAAAATGAGTAAGCAATATAAAACTTACCCATAGGGCCTCCGTCATCATTGTAGGTGGCGATGATAACGTTGACGTTTTCAACGATACGCTGGAAGGTCTGGTAAAGTTCCTCAGCCTCCAGTTGAAGTTCAAGCAGAGCACGGTCCATCTTGTTCATGAACAGGATGGGCTTGATACGCTCAGCTATCGCCTGACGGAGTACAGTCTCGGTTTGTACGCACACACCTAGGAGAAAGAAAAGGTTATATAGACTTAAACCACAGTACAAAAAAAAATTGTTTGTTAAGATTTTAATATCAAGAAAGCATACACAAACTTATATATATGAATGGCATGGAATGGTTTCATCATCATCATCAATATCCTTTAACAGTCCACTGCTGGACATAGGCCTCTCCTTAGAAAGGATGTTTTGGTTAACACGCTGTCCAGACGGGTTGGTATGGAGTTTGTGTCAAGTTTGCCTTCTCTAGTGCTGTTGTCCTGAATAGTTAGCTCCCTTACTAGACTCTTAGGACACCCATAAGAATATTAGGCTTGGTGACATTCCATATTCTTAATCCAACACCAGACAATGGAAAATATAAAATATTTGTAGGATATAAACAATTATCATGTTAGAGATATTGCTTCATAACCAACCTATGCAGTCTAAGTTCATTGCATCATTTCTATTTTTATACTTTGATGTGGTAATCTATTTTTAGACAAGAGCCCATTAGCGTTATACTGTGTAATAAAAGTATTTATTTAAAAAAAAAATGTGCATGTGTGGGAGATCATTGAGAAATAGCATTCAATGTTGTCAAAACAATGAATAAATTCTCAACAAGGGAGTGTTTAATCTGCATTGTCAGAACAGTCAGACAGACAATGGTCTAAGCAATCATTCAATACCATTATGTTTAGGTCATGTTTAGTTTAACTACAGCCCTACATAAAATCTCGATAGCTTAGACAAAATGGTGGATGCACTACAAAGCCAATAATCGTCAATAGAGCCATGTGCACCATGTTTTACTAAAAAGCCATAGGCTAGCTCTAGCTACTTCACTTGTTTACTTATTCTGAAACCTCATTTTAACTTAGTTGAGATAGAATACACATATTAAACATAAATACAGGACATTGACAAAATTGTGGTTGCACCACAAACCATTAATCAAAACTTGAAGTTGCTAACTCATGGTCAATTGAACCATGTGCTTGCCATGTGGATCATTTTGATGTGATTTACTTGTTATTTATTGTGTTAATGTTGTGAAACCTAATTTGAATTTAGTCAACTTAGACACAACATGTTAAACATGTACATGAACAGAAATGCATAAAACAGAAACCATTCTTCATTGGAGAAAGCAAATTAACAAAGTTGTGAAATATTGCAAGTTTTAAAAAATTGCAAATTGTGAAATGCAAACATTTTCATAACTTGAATAAACAGAAATGCATAAAATAAACCTTCAAATGAAAAAGCAAATTGACAAAAGTTGTGAAATATTACAAATTGTGAAATGCAAATATTTTCATTACTTGAATGGACAGAAATGCATAAAACAGAAACCATTCTTGGTTGGAGAAAGCAAATTAACAAAGTTGTGAAATATTGCAAGTTTTTAAATATTGCAAATTGTGAAATGCAAACATTTTCGTTACTTGAATAAACAGAAATGCATAAAATGAACCTTGGAATGAAAAAGCAAATTGACAAAAGTTGTGAAACCTTACAAATTGTGAAATGCAAACATTCTAGATACTAGAATGAACAGAAATGCATAAAACAGAAACCATTCTTTTTTTGGAGAAATCAAATTAACAAAGTTGTGAAATATTGCAAATTGTGAAATTCAAACATTTAATTACTTGAATAAACAGAAATGCATAAAATAAACCATTCTTTGTTGAAGAAAGCAAATTAACAAGTTGTGAAATATTACAAATTGTCAAATGCAAACATTTTCATTATATGAATGAACAGAAATGCATAAAACAAACCATGCTTGAATGGAAAAAGCAAATTGACAATAGTTGTGTAATATTGCAAGTCATAAAATGCAAATATTTTTGACACTTAAATAATCAAAAATATTAATAGTATCAAGATTTTCACCAGTTTAAGAAGTATTAAGATGTCAATACATACCGGATACGCAGTCCACAACAACAAGAGCACCATCAGTAACACGCAGAGCAGCTGTCACCTCAGAGGAGAAGTCAACGTGCCCAGGTGAGTCAATCAAGTTAATCAAGAAACCCTTCTCACTCTTCTCCCGCTGGTCAGGGTTGGTAATGAACACCAAGTCTTTCTCCTCGAGCTCGAAGTACATAGAAATAGCGCTGGGGAATAAGGTTCATGGTTAGAATGTGATTTTTCCAAATTACATTTTGAATGAAATTTTTGAGTAATTCAGATGGCCGTTCTGATGATCTTCAATGAATATCAGTTTTAAAGGTAAGAACAATCATCATTAAAATAAATGCTGAATATTAAGGAATATTCTATTCAGTTGCCTGTTCAAGTAAATATACAATAAACTTTTGTTAAGTTTATGTAGAAGGACAGCTGATTTTGTTTACATAAATAATTTGTGGATAAACATTTTGAATTGCAAACTAGTAATAATAATCATCTCCGATGCCACAACCTGTAAAATATAAGTCGAGCAGTTCAAGGACATCAGACGCCGCTTACGCGGTCCCTTTGTTTGTAAGGTTAAGAATTTCACCATGTGGTGAAATCTGTACTCACGTCGACTTGATGGTGATGCATCTGTCTTGCTCGTCCTTGCGCGTGTCCGTGAAACGAGTTTCACCAGCACGGGCGCCGGCAATGATACCGGCTTTGGAGACCAGCGAGTCTGTCAGTGTGGACTTGCCGTGATCGACGTGGGCGATGACGGACATGTTCCGGATATTCCTCTTCTTGTCCATCATGCCACGGATCTCGTCTACGGTGAAATTCACCTGCACAAACAAAAAAACAGTTCGTCAACATTTCGCACATCACAACACAGATGGTACACTTGACACACGTACAATTTAATCCATAAATTAATTTCGCGATTGGTTCCGTCTCCATTTTAGGCCTCAGGTGTACTTTAAATTAAATTTCCGCGAATCTACTTTAACACCGATCTATCACCGCTACACTTGGAAACGTCACCCGATCGCAGACGTCGTTTGTCGTGAATAAAGCGAAAACTTCAACCGATTAAAACTCAAAACCCGTGAAATACTATCACAAAACGTTAATATGGATACTAAGGTACACTTTTCTGCACAAAACTAATGAGTTCGATACTCACCATTTTGGATGGTTTTAGATTTTCGTCCAATAAAATAAACCACCATACGCCAGCAACGGCGTACGCTTGAAAAAGAACACTTTTCAATCGAGTGCCGGATGTGGCAGGGAACCGTCAAATAATAGCCAGTCCATAGACAATTATAGTTGCCATACGTTAAATCTAAATTGGTTCTCAGATAGAATCTTGGTCTAGTCTATGATTTGCAACAATTTAGTAACTTGAAACAAATCTTTAAAATACACCTTTTAATTTTTTTTTGACATCAATTTTAATTAACCGTTTAAAAATCAAAATTAAAATTCATGTCATCCGTCCGCAATGATGAGAGCATCGAAGTTTGTTTAAATTTTATAAAAATATAAAAATGAACAACAAATTACTTAAAATCCTGTATCTTACTACAATAAATGTTAAAAGTGTAAATCTGTGAGCGAGATGAGTGAAATGCATGTGCACAATAGGAATGAGTTTTTGATGCATTCGGAATCACCAATGAATGATCGTGCTCATCACACAATTATTTGTACTGGGTGGGAATCGAACCCATAACCTTCATAACTAACAAGACCCGCCCGTCAATATACTGCTTGAAAATTATAAAGTTAAACTTTTGGTTTTAAACAAAAAAGTTTATTTACTAATTAGTCAAACTACTCTTTGGCTGTAATTTAATATTATTGACATATTTATCTTAACATACATGTATAGACATGTACTGAATTCTGAGATCTATAAGTGTGACTACATGATCCTTTCTACTCTTGTTAAGCTTTTCAGATGGAGCACTAACTAATTTTTTTTAGTGAAATCGTCTTTTCGATAGCCAAATATACTCGATTAATCTGTGACCCTCTATTTCTCACTAAAGGTGCCATATTATAAAGAAAAAAAAGAACAGAAAAATGTTATTACTGAATGTTAATCAAGAGTGTATTTTCCATTCTTAAGATTACTTAAGAATGGTAAATGCCGTTCTTTGGCACAATTATTAAATTGATCCACGGAAACATATTAACATCCGACGTCATCCGAATACACTGACACGTATCGTTTAGTGGCACCTTTGTTTTAATAGACAATTTTATTATATATTTACATTACACTTCGGGTCTTTTAATTTATATTTTTAATTGATCATTAAGTAACCAATGAACCAAAATGAACAATATGTTGTCGATTTTTTTAACTAAATACAAAAATAAATTCTAAATTAATGGCGTAAAATGTTTTCGAATGCTTATATAAATTAACACTAGATGGCGTAACTAGTTAGCACCAAGATTGGAACTAGCTACTAATTTACGCAGTTCTGCTATTCCACAACAGAGGTCGGCCGGCCGGCCAACAAACGCTTTAGTACTGAAATTAGTTCAACTTAAATACTCGATTCTGCCAAGTTTAAATGTCTAACCAAACTTAATTAGCATGTGCCAAAGATTAATCATTTTATTTATACTATTTTGTGTGATCAAAGGATAGCACAATAAAATTGTTATTTGCAGTTATACTCGTACAGAAACATAGGATATTGCATAATAATATACATAAATTCAAGATACAATCGAGGGGCAAGGGCATTAGGGCTGGGGTGAATACTTTGTAATTGCGAGGGTGGTTGTAGGGCTGCTATTTTTTTTTTTATTAATACTATTATTAGTTAATTCAGAGTAAAATGTTTGAGTTTTAAGTTTATCTGCTTTGAACGCTTTCAAAGCTTGACACGTGTTATTTTAAAATAAAACCGGCACTGGTAGTTAGTGTATTTACGATAGTGTAGTGTCATAGAACAAAATTTTCAAACTCATTATCGAGTAGTTGACGTTAAAACTACGTCAAGTTGCGCTTATGTGTGTCTTTTAAATATAATTAATCTGTTAATATATTTGTAATAATACAGTGAGTGACATTGAAAAAATTTAATTATTATTTTATAAAAAAAAACTTTATCATTACAACTTTAAGAGAGACTTTACATCAACTTTCAATTATTCAATAATCTAATTTTATTCATATGTTTCGATGTCGATCTTGGTTTTATTAAACAATAATTGTATATATTTTGCATGGCTTATGGTAGAATCACTTGAAACATAACTATATATTTCTTAAAACCATTGTAACAATGTTTTCTGCAGAAATAAATGTGGTTTGATTTGAGAGTAGAATTTCAGGGTTTCGTAGTCTTAAGAAGGTACTTTTATGGTACCGGCATGTCCATCTGTGTGTTTGACTTTGCTTATTAATTTGCTTGATATACATTTATGTATATTTATTAATCACGTCGACAAACTGGTAAAATGAAATGATGAAAATAGTTTTTAGGCTACCTTTCCTACATTTAAAGTGTTTTTTTTTATCTATCCGATAGCGTGGGTATTGTTAAATAGGTCCTTTCATTAAATAACTGACAGATTTAAACTGACATGTGGTTTTATTAAACATCATTTACAAATAGGTACTTATGTTTTTGTGAAACAAACCTCAGTCATTTTTTTACTACTTTTTAATTCATGAGACAAAATATTTTGCAATTTCTTTTATAAGCTCTTCGTCGAAACTCTCGAAGATACAATTTACTTCCTTAATGCTAAATCAAATTGTCTTTCATATCAGGCGCGAACTACCATAAACTTATATTCGCCTTTTGTTCGGAAAATTAACAATTGTAATACATTCTGAATTGTTACTATATTTTGTCAACCCTATTGCTTGCAAAGGGGCGACCTCAAGGTCATCTAATTACATAAGTATACATCACTTAATTCGTCTGTTATTGTGAGTTCAGATTGTAAAAGTATTGTTTTTTGTTATATAAGTTTTCCACATATTTTCGAGTTCCCCAGTGTCATATAATTACGTGTTACTAACGTTTATCGTCGCATTTTTATTTAAATATTTTTTTATTTAAGAATAAAACTTATAAAGTAAGGTAATTCTTATAGTTTGGTGTATTTTTTTAAACTATTTTTTACTATTGTTTTCTTATTGTCTTGAATGCCTACTGGCAGACTTTAGTAAATGAACAAAATATTCAAACTCAAACATATTTATTTCATTAAAAAAATATTATTGGAAATCGTCTCTTGTGAAGACTTTAAAGTCATAGATCAACACATACACAATAGCAACAATCTCTGTTTTGTCAAATATTTAGCGAACTAAATATGTACGTATCGAAAATCTCTTATATGTCTGTAGGTATATACTAAAGTCTCTGGATTTGGCCACTTACAATAAAAGAATGAAAAAACAATTAAAGAATTTCGAAAACAAAATCTTTGGGAATATGTTACTTTTTGATTTGCGAGACTGTCATTTATTTTTTCATTGTGACGTCCTTTCGAAAATTGTGTGTCGCTATCAAAATGAATTTATGAAAAATGATTAATTATGATTTTCATTGTGGCTTAAGTCAATAAAAAAGAGACTTCATTTGGTATGTTAAGATAAATATAAAGCACCATATCGCAGCTCCGTGTATTCATGGTTTGGAGAATTTAGACGTAGACGTGATGACCTCCATGACGAGGTACGTGAAGGTCGGCCAGCGACAGCGGTTACAGACTCTTAACTTGGAAATTATTGAAACTGACACAAAAAAATTACTTGCCAGCTAATTCGTGCCTTGTTAGGCATTGGAATGAGCCAAGTGCAAAATATTTTACATTTGCACCTGAAGGTTCGGCAGCTTTGCACTGCATGGACACCGCATGACTTAAAGGAGAACGACTACGTGTCCAGTGGTGCCGTAAAATGATAAAAAGAGTTTAACGGAGGACAGTCATTGGCTGTCTATAATATAGTAACAGGTGACGAAATCGTGGGTCTTGCTTTTTGAAGATTTGCCGACGAAAGTTTTTTTTTTATGTTAGATGGGGCAGACGAGCAGAAAAGAAAAGTCGAAGCATTTTAAAAATGGTTGCTTCTTTTTTCGGCAAATCAGGACATTACACTACAGTATCGCTTGAAGGTCAAAGGTCAGTGATTGTAGATTAGTTAGATTATTGATAACTAGGTTACAAATGAAGAGTCACCTGACTAAATAAGTCACGGTACGGTCACCGTACGGTCATGGAACAGTTGATAAGGGAAATTTGGGTAAGTGATTACCGACGCCCGAGGACAATTCAATCCTGTAAATTCGTTGATAAATGTGTTGTTGGACTATTAAGGCTGCTTCTACACGGTGCAAGTATCTTGTGCATGGCCTCAATTCTGCTATTTTATGTTAACGCCAAGCTACTGTCATTCCATTGACACATTATTGAGATGCCATTGAGTCGCCATTGTCATTGGTCAAAATATCAGTATTCTATTAACATAAATTCACAGTGTCAACAGACTGTCAATACAGTAATATAGGTCATCAATGGTGATATCAGCAACATTGCCATACCTGGAAAATTAAATAAGTTATTTTCTTACAAATTTAAAATGTACTGTTTATCAAAATGTTGACCAGGAACCAGGTGTACCTCGACCCATCTACGGCGTGTAAATGACCCCCTCCTGAGAACCAAAGAGAACCTAGATTCTACCTCTAGAGTTAACTAAATAAATAAAAAAAAACAAAATACATCACGAGATTTTTTATGGTATAGGGCGCAAACAAGGAGATGGTTCACCTTATGGTAAGTGAGTACCGGCGCCCATAGACACCTGCTACACAAGAGTCTAAATATTATACTCAATTCAGATGTACACGTGTATTGTTACACAGTTAGTTGTTAAATATGGCCTCCAAGTATAACAATAATCTATACTAATATTATAAAGCTGAAGAGTTTGTTTGTTTGTTTGTTTGTTTGAACGCGCTAATGTCAGGAACTACTGGTCCGATTTGAAAAATTCTTTCAGTGTTAGATAGCCCATTTATCGAGGAAGGCTATAGGCTATATATCATCACGCTAAGACCAATAGGAGCGGAGCACCAATGAAGAATGTTTCAAAAACGGAGAAAATTTATTACTATTGAGAGACGCAGACGAAGTTGCGCGGGT